CACACACACACACAGACACACACGCAGACACACACACACATACACACACCGGGGTCGTCGCAGTATGCGTTTTCGCATTTGCATACATGCAAAAACGCATAAAAAACAGCAAAAAGAATTTTAAATGCAGTCACTAGACGCATCTTTCTTTGAACAGTACATTTCAAACTGGCTGCTGTCTCTAATCTGTTTTCTGTTTCATGTGCTTATTTTGTGCAAAATTCTTTCAGTTGGAATATTTCTTTTGGAGCATTTTGAGCTAGCACTCAGAGTTTATCAAATTCGCTCTATGTTAGAGAAGTTTTCAGTTCTTATTTCAAAACGAACCTTAGACCTGGCTTGTAGTTCCATTTCTTTAAGTTGCAACCAACCTGCACCTTCGACAGTGGCGATCATTTTCAGCACTTGGGTCCAGTCAAATACGCTTGAACCAATTGTCCAACGAAATAATTCCTTTCTATTTTGCGGCAGATAATCAGCCAGATAAATCTGAAACCCAAATAAATACATATCAGAATGCAACAAAATGCTTATGCGATTGTGTGTTTGCACTAAGCTACTGTGGATTCACTGTTTGTTAATGTTGCAAAACACATAGTTCTTTTTCATGCATCGCCACGTTATTTTCGACCTCGCCAGATGAAAACATGCAGTCTACCTACACTGGATTTGGGATGTCGTACTGCAAGTTGGATGGGTGACGGTACGAAGCGAAATCGTAAGAACAAATCCTCAACCTATTCGCGTAAGGACGGCAGAGAGCATGGAAACTGATTTTACGTTTTTGGATCTGTACATGGCAAGAAGCGGCACTTACAGTTCCCGGTTTTCGTAATCCTGGAAATGAATCAGATTGACAGACAAACACTCAAACATATATATACAGACAAACGGGTGTGGTCTTACTTCGCTGATTTTGAATCTGTAAACAAAGGACATACAAAGCTGTCTGAAAGTTGATTTCAGCTTTTTGGTCTTATGCACTGCAAAACGTTCTTCCTAAAATTTCAATTTTTGTCCTTTTTTACTTCCCTGAATTATAATATCTGATTGGATGTGCACTCAGAAGCCATGGCACAGGGCGGTCTAAAAGATTTCCAGTTCTGAAAGCTTGTTTACCTTCTGGTGTATAGTGGCATGCGCCAGGATAGTTGGTGTGATCATGCGTTTTACGCAGTTCTATACAACGGACGTTTAATATTAATAATGTTCTCTTGCT